AGCGTGGAGTCCCAAGTCTTTGGTTTAATTACCAATATCCACCTTCCCCTACTGTGAAGCGTGGAGTCCCAAGTCTTTGGTTTAATTACCAATATCCACCTTCCCCAAAAGTAGTGGGGCCCCTAATTAAGTCATACTCAAAAAATTCTACATAAAATGAGACATTTCATTAGACGTGGCCAAAAGTGACTGACAGAGGAGAGAAATGTCAACTGGCAACTGAGGGTGGATCCAAAAGCTTTCTCATGGAAAAACAAAGAAGAAATTCTAAAGAATTAAGAATTATTTAATATATAGGGACACCAGGGAGGCTCAGTCAGTTAAGTGTCCGGACTCGATCCCTTCTCAGGTCATGATCTCAGTTTCTGAGCTTGAGCCCCAAGATGGGCTCCACACTGACAGCAAGGAGCTTGCTTGGGATTCTCTCTCCCCGCTCCCTCTGCTCCTCACACACACACACTCTCTTCCTCTCTCTTTCTCTGTCTCAATATAAATAAGTAAATTTAAAAAAAGAATCATTTAATATACAGAGAAAAATGTGATAACTTAGCTGTTCATACAATTCTCACCGAATTACAACTTATAAAATAACTGTTGTTTGGGAATAATGTGTTGAATTTTCAAAAAAATTCAAAAGGCATTCTGCATGCTTTATGTAAAGACATATATAAACACAATATTAATAAAGTTTCCAGGATAAATATATTAAAAAAGTGTTTAAGGGAACAGCAAAGTTTCATCTACCTGAAATCACTTCTGTGTAACACCATTTCTCAAGGATGCTGGAAAAATGAGGTTGCATTCTAGTTTAGTAGTATGCAAGGTGCCACAGCATGCTTTTAAGAATTCAGACCCTGTTTTAAGCATGATATGTGACAGTAAACAAACATTCTTTCCAGAGTTATAATATATGAGAAAATGAGAGTATACCTTCTTTGGAGAAGAATCCATTTCTAATAAAGCCAAGCAACGGAATAAATCGGTTAGCTCTATCTTAAGAAAGCATGAAGGAAGAACTAATTGCTAAAAACTCCATGGAGTTTTGTAGTGATAAGAATGTTTGCTAGAGTACTGACGGCAACAGATACAAACATTTACAAAAGGCTATTATAGTTTACCTCATGTTACATTTTATTGCATTTAATTCTGTCACTGTTTTATTGACATTCGACTGAACCTTCAAACATGTCAGCCTGGCCTCATGCTTTTTGTCTATACATCATCATCATTTCCTGTTAGTGTCCTACATATATTCTAGGCTGAGGGGTAGAACAACCTTTCTGTTTCCTGAAATTGCTCTTACTATCCTACATCGGCTTTTATCCCTGTCTTTCTGAATCCTATAGGAAAGCCCATGACAGATTCTATCAACTCCATAAACCCTTTTCTGAAATATCCCCACTGCTCCCAGCACAAGCAGACTCTTTTTTTTTTTTTTTTAATGTTTTATTTATTTCTAGGAGAGAGAGAGAGACAGCATGAGCAGGGGAGGGTCAGAGAGAGAGGGAGTCACAGACTGAAACAGGCTCCAGGCTCTGAGCTGGCAGTCAGCACAGAGCCCGACGCGGGGCTCAAACCCACGAACCGCGAGATCATGACCTAAGCGAAAGTCGGACGCTTAACCGACTAAGCCACCCAGGCGCTCCACAAGCAGACTCTTCCCATTAGAACTATGACATTCTATTGTTACCATTTTTAGTTTATTTATTTATTTTGAGAAACAGAGACAGCATTGATGGGGGAGGGGGAGAGAGAGTGAGAGAGAGAGAAAGAGAGACAGAGAGACAGAGAATCCAAAGCAGGCACTGTGCTATTAGCAGGGCTCGAACACACAAACTGCAAGACCGTGACCTGAGCCAAAAACCAAGAGTGGGATACTTAACTAACTGAGCCCATACTCCCTATTGTTACCATTTGTGCCATAATTACTCAAATCTCTTATCTCGCAGGCATCTAAGTAAGATATATGAAAAAAGTATGAGAGTCAAACAGGCAAGAGTATCCCAGCTCCAATGTGTGACCAATCAAGATATTAACTCCCTAGAGCCTTAGATCCCTGCTCTGAAGAATGGGAAAATCATTACTGACTTTACAGGTTTGTGCTTATGTAAAACATCAAGTCTGAAATGAACCTACGGATCAATAAATGCATGCATTTTGCCTTATGCCTCTGATCCTACAAAAAAGAAGAGAGGGGGTATTAGAAAGTCACTCTAAACTATTTTTAACTTTCCAGATCCTCTCCTTTTCTTTGCACTTACTCTGCTCTTCCTGAAGGTTTAGATATGTGATCTTCTAAACTGACTGTACATTAATTAATTATGATCATTGGTTTAAGTGACAAGTGGAAGGTTCCAGCAATTTCTTGGGCAAACATGCAGATTTGTAGTCCTGTATTTGTAAGAGTATGGACATAAAGATGTGGAAAGGAAAGGAAGGCTGCTTCTGTATCTTTAACAAGCAGTCACACAGTCAGAAGTTAGAACCTGGTACCACAACATGGTACCACACGCACAGTGCTGAATTTAAGAAAACAACCCAGGTTATATCCTTAAGATATTTTACTTATAACCAGTTATTGCTTTAATGAAATTCATCAGAGAACATGAAACCCTCATTCAACCTTTTTTTTTCCCCAACAATGCAAATTAGTACTGGGCAGTAATTCAAGAAACTGAAAACAAATCCCAACAATGGGTGATTCCTCTCACCAGATGCACTAATAGAAGATAATCAGGAACAAGAAAAGCATCAGACAAAGTTTGAACAGATAAAAAATATAAACCCTCCAAAGCTGCATTACTTACTATCCACTTCTGCTTTAAAAATATATCCCTTTTTAAGTATTCACATTCCCACAAAAACTATACTGATAGAATATGTTTTGTTCCTTTAGAGAACACATTTAAAATTTGCTATTTAAACTGAAGAGGTTACACATATAAAACTTTCAAAAAGGACTGCCTGGGCGAGAGGGCCTTGAGGAATGGAGACCTTATTCATCACTAACAACTACCACAAGACCTGGTACACTCAAGTCACTCAATAAGCTTTTGTTGCTTAAGCTGACATTGCAGTTAAGGCTGCTGTATTAACACAAACAAGCACCAGCACAATTACCTGCACTTTAATGTAATTTCAAAACCATTTAGTAAATAAATTGAAACAAGTCAGTATCACTTATGGTTAGAAACCAGTTATAAAATAATTCAGAAAGTAGCTGGACCTTCCAAACTAAATGAGAGCATTTCCTAAGAGCAACTGTAAACAAGGCCAGTTGCAAGGTGGAAGATCCACGTCCGCTTGTAGTAGATTGCAGGAGGCCACCTTAACAGATTTCATTACGGTGCCACCAAGGGCAAATATTATGAACCTAATTAAGTAATTAGTAAGAGATTTCCTATATGAAAATAATACTTCCTCCTCTTAAAAGTGGCCACCTATTGGGTTTGTAAATTAGCAGTATTTAAGAAAAGGCAAACAATATACTTGGGATAGGCTACATGTTATCAAAAAAAAGCAATCCAAAAACAAACTCAAGTGTTTAATTATAGGAAGCTAATGCGGTTCCCTATGAGGTTTTAGATAATTGTTTATTTTACCATATAAACATGACTATAAAAAATATAAGGCTATCTAATGGGAAAGTGCTACTGTTAATTACTGTTATACTAGTTGAAATCTGTTGAAACATTTAAAACCATGTAGGCTACTGGAATTGATTTTAATTTTCCAGATGCCCTACATAGTGGAAATCTGCCTTTAACAATAGCCAATTCACAAAGCCTTATGTCATCATTAATTACATAATGACTAGGCTAATCATATACTCTGGATTCAAATAGGCTTTAACACTATATAAGACATGTTTATGTTACATGTTACCCTGATAAGCAACTCTATAAAACCACAGCAATTGAAAGAATTATTTTTCCACATACTGAGATGTCTAACAAAATGGGTCACTTGAAACTCTATTATTTGTCTCCTGCTGGTTCAACTTTTCATAGAACTTAATGAAATGTTTGGATGGCAGGGATTTTCATGAATCAAGATTGTTTTCAAGTTACAAGGCTGAAGGAACAATGTGAGAATCACTCCTTTCAAGTCTAACCTAATAACGATATTGCTTTGCGTTTCCTTCATTTGCTAAATCCATTACATAACACATTTTAAAAGCATGATGAACTCACATTAATTTCAGAGTAATTTAAAAGCAGACTGGTATACAATTTTTGAAGGAATTTAGTCACTGATATGGTTTCAGAATTGATTAATGTCCCACCTCTTGAAACAGCCTTCCTGCATGGAAGTGTTTCTGCCTATACAGTGTTTACATGCCCACACTACCACAATTTATCATGTTTCACTGCCTTTACTGGTTTTAAATATTCATGCTGCAATACCTACAGAACAGAAACAAGTCAAAGCACATCTTTTAATAACTGTGCTTATTAAAAAAAAAAAAAAGAACTGGGAAGGATATAAATTTTTGGCCAATTTCCTCATTTTAAGAACATTTAAAAAAAAAAAAAAGAGCTGAGACCCAGAGATTGATTTAGATACTGTCACAAGGTTATTTAGCATTGGGACTAGATCAAGAGTCTTTCTCATGACACAACTAGAGTAACCTAAGATTATTATTATCTCTACCATGGGCATTCCCTGAGAGCAGAAACTGGGTTCCTAGAAAAAATTTTTTAAAAACCACCATTCATAATTAAAAAATTACCATTCATAAAAATCAACCCTCCACATCAATCTGTGAAGCATACACAATGAAAAACCTTGGTAATTGATTGGTCTTGGCACTTCCATCAACATTGGCAAGGTGGACCTGGAATTCAGGAACAGAAACAAAGCTCTTATGTTTTTACTTAACACTTGATTCAGGATTCACCTTTGTGCTGCTAGACCTTCAGCAGGGACCCCATATTTCTTGACAGGAGTATGGGATTGGTTGCTCACGACCACCATACAACCTTGTCATCGTAACCTACCTCCTTGGCCATGTCTGTGTATTTCTGCTTTTCCTTTGGATCTAGAACAGCCCACCAATCAGCCAGAATCTTGGTAGCACCTCGGTTATCAAGCCGGGGGTGTTCCTGTCTTACAAGGGAGCGATGACGTTTGCAAAATAAAAGAAATGCATTCATTGGTCTCCGGGCTCGCTGTTCTGGTGATTCATCATCAGTCTCACCAACATCTTGCTCTAGGCCATCAGCCCCAAGGAGTTGAACCTATTAACCAACCAAAACAAAAGACAGATGTTTAACACATCCTGGACAATTTTGTTTTAACAATTAGTTTTGGTTTCCAAATTGTGTTTTTTTTCTTACCTCCATTTAAACAACTTACAAATTGGAAAAAAAAATTAATCATCAACAACTATTAGTGGTTGATAACCAACATACAATGTATTCTGCTTAGTGTCTATAGCAACCTGTGCATGTCTCTATTACAAAATATATTATATCATGTTACAATTGTTTAGATTCCACCCCCCCCCACCCCCTACTAAACAGTGAACTCTTTGAGGACAAAAGTTATTTACCTTTACAATCACGGCATCTAGCTCAATGTCTGGTGTAATATCAGTACCTAACTAACTGCCCAATAAATAAATAAACCCATACTGTGAAATATCCATCTCAAGATTAACAACAACATTCACACACAAAAGAATACATGAATATTGGTTGTTTCTCCTGTTTGGAAAGTGCTTTTCTACAGCTAATAATATGAAAGTGTTTAACATAAAAGTAGGTAATAAAAATGTAATATATGCACATCACAAGTGGAACCTCCTACTGTAAAAATCAAAATAGACATTGAACATTATTTGAAGGAAGAACTACGTAGTAAATTTTCAAGCTTGTAAATATCGTTTGGTGAAATGCTATGATGACAGGAGTAAATTCACCTAGGCTTAAACCTTCACAATAGATTCTGAATCCCCTCTTTTCTTCAGCATTTCATTCAATTCACAGTCTTCAAGGACTTCTACAAAGCTCTGATCCCACCCATTCCATCTGTGTAACTGTCATTACCACTGCCTGAGCCTATGACCTAGTGTTTCTGCTTCATTTTATTTTTGTTCGTATTTTTAAAGTGTTAATTTATTCTTTTTGAGAGAGAGAGAGAATAGAGACAATAAGTAGTGTAGGGGAAGAGAGGGGACAGAGGATCCAAAGCAGGCTCCATGCTGACAGCAGCCAGCGTGATGTGGGGCCTGAACTCATGAACCATGAGATAATGGCCTGAGCCGAAGCTGGACCTCAACTGACTGAGCCACCCTGATGCTCCGGCCTAGTCTTTCTGCTTCTAATCTCTTGCATACTTCTTGCACATGGCTGCAGATACCTCTGATCATAGAATCTCAGAATATATTAGGGCTGTTAAAGATCTTCTAAGGCTGAAATATGATTCTATGCGATTTCTTGAAAACAGTACAACCACAAGCAGAAGTCCAGAAAGCTTACTAAAGCTAGGTCGTTAGTTCCTTGTTTCATAGGTAAAATCAGGAAGGACTAAGGTAGCTGTTAGTCTGCATTATATAGTAGAGCATTACTTCTTCAGTTTGAGTAGGCAGTAGAATCCCTGAAGGTCTTGTTAAATGAAACACAGATTATTGGGTCCCTTTCCCAGAGTTTCCAATTCTGTAGGTCTGGAGTGGGCCTTGTAACAAGTTCCCAGGTGATGTTGATGCTGCTGGTCTGAAGATCACACTCTGAGAATCACTACTGTAAGGCAACTGTGTTCTTTTACATCATGTTTTATTGGGAAACTGCTATAGATACTCTAGGATGAATCACTAGCTTAATCCAATTTGGTATTTTTAAAAAGTCTTTTAAGTTTAAATTAAGTATTGCAAATGCATTTAACTAACCATCAATTATCTTCAAACAAAATAATATGGTGTAACAATCTTGAAGTCGTAGCTATCTGATTTGGAAATACACTAGACATTATTATTGGGAGTGAAGAGTATAGATTTGGTTTCCTCATTATGTATACAATCATTAACAATGATTTGCATTTTCAAGGAGTATTTATTTATCATTCTGAATGCTAAATAATAAGGAATATTTATTTAGCATTCTGAAACTAAGAAGCTATAGGAACATCAAGACATAAAAAGTGTATTATGTAGGTTGAGGAAATAACTATATTATCCCTTCAGAAAAGAGTAACTTTTGATTCAGTTACTAAATTATAAAACTCAAGCCAAGAGCTGGAAAAAAAGATAAATAAGACAAGATCCCAGACCAAGGAGCTTACTGTTTGGGGAGGCCAGGGGGAGAGAAAGAAAGAAAAGCAAATTAATTAAAAAGCAGTATGGGGGTGACTGGGTGGCTTAGTCAGTTAAGCGTCCGACTTTCGCTTAGGTCATGATCTCGCGGTTCGTGGGTTTGAGCCCCGCGTCGGGCTCTGTGCTGACTGCCAGCTCAGAGCCTGGAGCCTGTTTCAGAGTCTGTGTCTCTCTCTCTCTCTGACCCTCCCCTGCTCACGCTGTCTCTCTCTCTCCTAGAAATAAATAAAAACATTAAAAAAAAAAAAAAAAGGCAGTATGATGGGGGCGCCTGGGTGGCTCAGTTGGTTAAGCATCTGACTTCGGCTCAGGTCATGATCTCACGGTTCGTGGGTTCGAGCCTTGCGTCGGGCTCTGTACTGAGAGCCTGGAGCCTGTCTTCGCATTCAGTGTTTCCCTCTCTCTGACCCTCCCCTGCTCACGCTGTCTCTCTCTTTCTCAGAAATAAATAAAAAACACTAAAAAAAGAAAAGCAGTACGATGACTATTACAAGAAGCCAGTGTTACAATGAAGCACTTGTGGATTGGTGGAAGCACACCAAAGTCTCCCTAGAAAACGTGTTTTCTGAGCCAGATTCTGAAAGTTGAATCAGAATGGGTCAGGTAGTCAATGGGGAGACACAGAAAACGAGAAAGGATTAAGGCTTGATGACTACTGATTGGTGTACAGTTCAATAGAACTGATAGATATAAGATTAGAAAAGGGACCCAGGACACGAGGTTGGAGAAGTAAGTATGGGCACACTTCAAGAAGGATGTGCTATGTCATGTCAGATAACATGCATTTAATCCTATAAATAAGTAGTTTTAGACTGTAAAAAAAAAAAAAACCATAAAACTAAAAAACCAAAAAAACTTAGGGGGAACAACATAGGTTATCATATTTTACCACAGGTTATTTATTTTGCCAAATATGAACATTTAAAAAAATGATGGTAACTATTGTTTAATGTTACAATTATTTCATTAAATTAATCAAAATATGAATAAATAAATAAATAAAATTATATAAAAGTAAAAAACTCTCTGGACTTAAATTTTTCTTTCACCAGGGCCAAGTATACTTTATAACACATCAACACGCATGCTAGACCAGGATACGGAAACCACAGATGGATGCAATGGAGAGCCATGAGTGGTTTTAAGCACAGGAGAGATATCGCCAGATATGTATTTTAAGATAACTCCTGTCAGCAGTGGAAAGCATGAATTATAATATCAAAACTAGAAGCAACCCACACTAGAGAAACCATTTCAAAGTTTGTTCCCGCTGTCCAGGTAAGAAAGGTGACAAGGCTGAATCAAGGCTGTAATGATGAGAATTAAGAAGTGAGAACAGAGACAATATTTATTTATGAGGTAGAGCCAAGAGAGCTGGTGTCGGTTAAACAAAGAAGAGTGCTTCTCGCTTCAGTGGCAAGATTCCTTCATACACAACAGAGAGTGCTTTTTCTCAAAGGAGAGAAATTAGATGGGGTGGGGAGCAGAAAGATCAGTACCAGGTAGCTAAATGTCAGATGGTTCTCAGCAGAGAAGTCTTAGCTGGGATTATGAACTGAGGTATGAATACAAAGAAAGCAAGACTAGAAAAGTGGATGAGATCACCAAGTGTGGACTGAAAAGAGAAGGGAATTCAATGATTCCATTCTTTGACTCAGTAACTGTGTACTGGGGAGCTGACAGGGACCAGATACTGTTCTAGGTGGTAAATCCATAAGCATACAAACTCCTCGTCTTCATGAAGCCGAAGAACAGCATAGCTAGCCTTTCCTTCTGAACAGATCCCTCTGGCTGTGATGTTGAGAAAACACATGGAAAGGTAAGAACAGAGGCAGGGAGAGAGGCAGAATACATACTAATCTGCACAAGAAATGGTGGTGGCTTGCACCAAGGAGGCCATGGTAACCTTGCTAAGGAGAAGTCAAACTGAGAACCTATGTAGAAGGTATGGCTTGAGAATATGCTGATGGATGGATGGATGCATATGAGACTTGAGCAAAAGAAAACAGATGAGCTTTCTGGTCTCACCAACTGGAAAGTTGGGGCCTCTCATTTAACGAGAAAGGGAAGATACAGGATAATAAGGTTCAAAGCTTCATTTTAAACACATTCAAATAGAGGTTCTGATTTGAGATCTAAGTGGATATGTCAAATAAACACTCAAAAATGTGAGTTTAGAATTTAAGGATTGAGAACAAAATTAAGAAGCCCAGGGTGGGACACTTGGGTGGCTCAGTTGGGGTTAATGATCCAAGTCTTGGTTTCTGTTCAGGTTATGATCTCAAGGTCCATGAGTTTGAACACTGCACTGGGCTCTGTGCAAACAGTGCGGAACCTGCTTGGGATTCTCTCTCTCTCTCTCTCTCTCTCTCTCTCTCTCTCTGCCTCTCCCTTGCTCATTCTTTTTCTCTCAAAAAAGAAACTAATTTTTTTTAAAGCCCAGAGAACACCAATATTTGAGGGCAGAATAATGGAGGGACATCAAGTGAAAGAAACTAGGAAGTAGAGGCTGGGACTAGGAAGAGAAACAGCAAACAGCTTCTAGGAAAAGTGAGCAACAGGCACAAAGGTGTGAGAATGATCAAATCACTATAAAGTTGGCCATGTCCTCAAATAGAATGAGTAATTCTAGTTTCTCTGAAAAAAGAAGGGGGAAGAAAAGATGGATGAGTGAAATAAGTGTACACAGGTGAGTAGAGGAAGATGAAGGAGTCATTTCTGGTGGCTTCTGTTCTCTCGGTAAAAGAGGAGAAAAAGGTCAACAATCAGAGAGACTATAAAGGGGATCTAGATAAGATGTCTGAGAAACAGAAAAAAAACAGAAAAAGAAATGGAAGCTGACCCAAGCACAGAACAAAAGACTGAATGGATGTCAAAGGTCTGAAGAATACTAAAACCATGTTTACAAAAGTTGTAGAGACACGAAATACGTACTCATTTATTCTTCCACTGAACATATATCTATTCAATACTCGCTATGTGCCAGGTACCATCCTAGGCTCCAAACAGTAAGAGGGGGATATTCGGGGCAAGATCTCTGCTCTTACTGAGCTTATATTTTAGTCTGGCAAGACAGGCCTACAGGTATACACCTAAGCGCAAGTTAAATGGTAAGAAATGCCAGGAAGGAAATCCTTGGACACGGAATGAGCTGGGTGGGAGGGTCACCTGAGATGATGAGGTCCCGTCTCTTGGGGAGGCAGTCCTTGTGCTGAGAGCTGAATGAGGAGGAGGACGAGGAGGAGGAACCAGTTCCGCCTAGACCTGGAGGAATGTGTGGCTTTCTAAAGTCACCTGCATGGTTGTGTGACTTTCTAAATGAGAGCTGGCTGCTCAAGCATGAGACCAGAGAGGAGACGTGGAGGACTGACTGACCACAGAGGACTGGTGGGGGTGAAAACAGCCAGGTGCCATGAAGGCGGCGGAGATGAGGGCCAGAGTGGCCGTGAAGCTGCCCACAGAGGCAGGTGCCACACAGTGCATCAAATTTTATAAATACCCCCATCTCCACTGCACATGAGTGATGCCTGAAAATCATTACTTAATAGACAGAAATACCACTGAAGAAGGATGTGTTTCTGTCTTAGCTATTAGGAGGTATAGATACTTTAGGAGCCCTCAATATCTGTAATAAAAATATAAATTGAGTAGTTAAATAGGATTCAAGTTATAGAGACTTTTAGAAATGCATCTTTCTCTCCAACCACTGTAGTTTCTGGAATGAATACTCAAAACTTCTGTGTTAAACAGAAGAATTACCTTATCAAAATCCTCCTCTTCGTCTTCCTCTTCCTCCTCTTCTGAAAAGTCAAGCAGTTTCTTTGCTAGCAATGGATGCCACTGAAGACACTTTCGTTTTGGTCGTTTTCCAGCCCCTTCTCCGTCTGCTGAATGATCTTTATTTCTATTACTGCCTTTCATTACTGTGACCTGTGGTAAGGAAAAAAGGAAGAGAAACAGGGAGAAATCAAAGTAAATTTGATTAAAATTTGTTTATTTAGCTTCCTTAGCTTTAATTGGATTATAGTTTTAATGACTAAAGTATCTGCCAGCTCAGGCATTTACTGGATTCAGTAAGAATTCTAAGTACATAATCAAACATTCATTTTAGTTGGCTGACTGGAGCTAATAAAATTTGCCTTTTGTGAAATCTTCTTCCTTCCACTCCATAACTTCAGGACTCAAAACCCAGAGACAGCAGCAGGATGCCTACACGTTACTGTCACCTGTTCACACTTACTCAGGGTAGAGTTTCTCAAAGCTGTGCATCAGAAGACTGAAAAGATGGAGAGAAGAGGTAGCCCTCCATACATTCTCCAATGGCTCCCATTTTATTACAATAATTTACATGAATTTTGCACTTTACACTATGATAAATCTGAGCTTGGAGTATTAGTAAGCAGAACGAATACTTTGTAAGAATCAAATGTTTGGATTAAAATAAAACTATTTCACAAGATGACACACAATTAAAAAAATTTTTAAATGTTTTTTATTTATTTCTGAGAGAGAGAGAGAGAGAGAGAGAGAGAGAGCAGGGGAGGGTCAGAGAGAGAGAGGGAGACATGGAATCCGAAGCAGGCAACAGGCTCTGAGCTGGCTGTCAGCACAGAGCCCGACGCAGGGCTCGAACCCACGAACCGTGCGATCACGACCTGAAGAAGTTGGATGCTTAACCGACTGAGCCACCCAGCCGCCCTGACACACAAGTTTTAAAAAGTAGCTGTGTGCAGCCTCCAAGAATCCAGTGCATGAAGTCACCGTAGGTCACTTAGTGAGATGAGCACCCTCTGTCCCCATCTGTGACACACATAATCATAAGTATTTTGCATCTCTTCATTATATATGCACCCAAATCCAGTAACAACAGTTTGCTCCCTAGGCTTTTTGTTCTTGCTTTTCCCCCAAAAGGTGATTGGCTGAAATAGCTAAGCAATGACCAGCCTATGGTGTGACAAAATCTTTCAAAGCCCAGAAACTTACTTTTGGATGACTTGGGAAAAAAAAAATCTTTTTCTTAATGATAAAAACAATGCACATTCATATTTAGTAAAAATAGCACGAAATGAGGTTTGCCTTCTCCATCATACCCAGCACCACAGCACAAAGGTAACCCACACATGTCAATTTCTTATAAGCATTCTCACAGTATTTTCCTAGTTCAATAGTTCTCATTCATTTTAAGTAAAAATATACAAATTATTGTCCATACACACTCATGAAAAATTTCAAATACACCCAAATGCTATCAACTTAAATGGTTCATGCTAACAATCACAAACACAAGCACAGTTGCTGAAATCACAGAATAGCATAGCATTTTTGGTCAGTAAAAGTGTGCATTGGTCTAAATGCTTGCAAAGTGGTATCAATAAACTTCTAATGCCATGTTGCTAAAACTAGGTTTTCATAAAGTTTCAAGATTCATCCTTGTCTAAAGCCTTTGAAACAACATGGTATAGGCAAATTTATCCTGTCTTTCATTGTTTCATGTTTCATGCTTAGGTCTTCCTCATTTCAAAAATTTTTAAAAATCATTAATATTGGGGCGCCTGGGTGGCTCAGTCGGTTAAGCGTCTGACTTTGGCTCAGGCCAGATCTCACAGGTCGTGGGTTCAAGCCCCGCATCAGGCTCTGTGCTGACAGCTCAGAGCCTGGAGCCTGTTTCAGATTCTGTGTCTCCCTCCCTCTGCCCCTCCCCCACTCATGCTCTGTTTCTCTCGGTCTCAAAATAAACTATAAAAAATAAAAATAAAAAAAATCATTAATAGTTCCCTCTAGAATTGGAATGACTTCATTATAAAAAAGAATTTCAATACTGGACCAATCTGTAATTCATTCTGATAAAGGAAATAAGGATCTAGCTTATTCTTATTTTTTTCCCAAATAACTAGACAACTCTCCCACCAGCTTTATTAAATAATCCAGCTTTCCCCCATTCCTTTGTAATAGCCCTTTTATCATAAACTACATTATGTGTACATATCTATTTCTGGATTCTCTTCTGTCAATGATCGTCCACCTCTAACCTGTTTGCCTATCCTTTGGCCAATTTTAGTAACCTCAGGCACTATATCATTCTGTATCTTCTTTTATATAAATACACCATAACCATTTAGAAACTTTATTTTGCATAGATCATGTTCATTTCAGTCGATACACCCTGTCTTTCCTCATTTTAAATAACTACAGAATATTCCAAAATAAAAATGTATTTCAATTTATTCAATCATTCCAGTATTGATAATCAGATTATTTCTTGTGCTTCAGTAAAATCTTCATTTTAATAAAAAAAAATTTTAAATCCTCATCTTGATAAAAATCTTCATCAATTTATTAAAAGCTATGTCTAGTCAAAAGGAGGAGGGAGAGGAAAAGAAAAACACGTTCCTATGGCCTTTTTAGCAAGAAACTTCTGCTGAATCTCTGAAGCAATTACATGATTCATGTAGCTGCCTCAAGAGTGTAAGAAGTTACTGAAAACTCTAAATGGAATTAGTTATCTACTATGCTTTTAATAAAGCAACAAAGGTTTCTCGTGAACTGATAGATCATTTAACAATTCTCATCATTCTATCTACAACTAAACTTTGGCACAATTTCCAGAAATACCAATGCTGTGTAGAGAGAAGAGGAAATGGTTATTTTTGTGGCTTATTAATCACTTTAGGATGAGCTGCTTGAGTGGCAAGTACACCCATATGGTGGCCCCAATATTTTAGGAGGTATAACATTTTTATGGCCTTTTCTTTTCCACTGAAAAAAGTCTCTTTAATATTTCTTATAAGTCCTATTTAGTGGTTATGAACTCCTTTAATTTTTGTTTATCTGGGAAACTTTCTCTCTCCTTCAATTCTGAATAATCTTGCCAGGTAGATTATTCTTAGTTGTAGGTGTTTTTTTTACTCTAATCATCAAATTACGCTGCTGAGATTGTCAAATGACAGAAGCTAAAGGTACTGGTCCAAAATACTGAATATTTATTTATCTTGTAATAACAAACCAATCCACGTGTGTCCTCCTATGCCGAGATGTGTGACTCTAATTAGATAACCACTGTTTTGAACTAAATACAAGTCAACCTGGTGAAAAATTAGAAAAAAAGTTCATTTAACTATTATTCAGGTTTTTATTTTATTATTTTTAATTTATTTTTAAATGTTCATTTACTTTTGAGAGACAGAAAGTATGAGAGGTGGAAGGGCAGAAAGAGAGGAGGACAAAGGATCTGAACTAGGCTCCGTGCTGATAGCAGAGTGCCTGATGAAGGGCTTGAACTCCCAAACCATGAGATCATGACCTGAGCTGAAGTCGGACACTTAACCGACTGAGCCACCTAGGCGCCCCTTAACTGTATTACTCAAAAGCAAGCCCCCTCATGAAAACTTTACTGAGGTCAAACTTCATGAGGATCTTAAAGAAGAAATGGCACAAAAGAAATGGCACAAACCAAACACCACAGGTAATAAAGGAAAATAACGGATACCAGGTCCTGGCAGGCTTCATTTAGAATCCTGTGTCTGCCACTAACTACCTGTTACAAAGTTATTAATCTTGCTAATCTTTCCTCATCTGTTGAAACTGAATACTTCTACTGTGAGAACACTATGTATAATACCCAGCATAGAATCTGGTACTCAGGAAACTCTCACTCTGTGTTAGTAAATCCTCCCTTTTCCCACAAGCTTTTTAGAGGGAGTAAGGGTTTTCACTGGCAGCCTCTGCTTGCTTAAACTCAGCCGAAGATACTGTTCAAAAGAGAACACATGTCTCCCATTTAACCATGGTCCACGTGCTTCCCAGATGACAGAATCTCCAGACTCTGAAACTAAAAAAGAAAGATGGAAAGTTTCCTTTCCTTTGTCTGAGTGATATACAGTCAGAAACAGTTCCTTGGCACAGTCATAAATTTTGAGAATAAGATCCTCTTAGTCTTTCTATCATCTTGTCTTACAACGTCGGCAATCAGTACACTTCAGTCTTTAAAACACTGTGAATTGAATGCTGTCACAGGGGTATTTTAGAGTTTAAACTGTATCCTAAATGTCCAATAAAATCCCATCCATATCGTATTAATGGACATTCAGACCCAACAAGACAGGGGAAGGTAAGAGAGGCCCATGAAATCTCAGTGTTGGACACCACACATTCTAACAACACATAAGGCCTCCCTTCGGTCCAACTAGGACCGCAAAACTTCACAATTTTCTCAAGTCTACAGAGAAAAGGAAAAACCACCCACAGACAGTGACAAAGTGGTAGCTATAGAGTTGCACACAAATTAGACTGACCTGCTTAAAAGCAGCTTCCTTATATAGGGAGTCTTGCTGTTTTCAAGACACACCTTGCTTCTATCTTTCCACGGGGGTCCTGGTGATAGAGAAGCTGGCAAACACACCAACTCTGAGGCCCTTGCTCAACCCAAACATTCTCCCATTTTCTGTCAAAGTTCTTTTCATCCTCCAAGGTCCAGCTCACATAGTCCTTCCTCTCTAAGGCTTTCTATAAAAATCTTAAAAATCCACCACTCTGCTCTTTGATCATAGTTGATGTTACAGGTCAAGCACACCAGTGTTTTACAGTTAGTTTTATCTATGCCAAGCCCCCAACCTCTCCCCCACACAAAAAACCCAAAGTTGCAAACTTCTAGATGGGAGGTACCATGGTTTCTTCCTTTTCTGTCCCAGGATGTGGCACTGAGCCTGGTACACAGCAGGCCCTGAAAAAGTCTTGCTTATCATTTCCTCACCTAACACTTTACTACATATAACAACTTCCCAGAATGATGTGTCCCTAGCAATAATTTTAAAGACAATACTAGTATGCAGCTAATATTTATACTTCTAATGCACTTAATGTTCATTATCTCATTTAGTCCTCGTAAGAACCCTGCGGGGCAGGTACTACTATGAATCCCAGCTGGAGAAGCT